TTCATGCGTCATTTCGAACAGGAAGAAAGTTTCGGCGTTTCCGTCTCTTTTCCTCGACTTTGGCTCGCTAATGACCGTGTTTGCGCAATTACCGGATCGCACACTCGAACTCCTTGCAGGGAAAACTATCAACGAAATTAACACGCCGTCGTTTCCGAGTCCTCTCGCCGAGTCGCGATTGTTCGTTAAGAGAAGGAACGTGTTTGGAGAGTGACGGGGGAAGGAAACGTAACGTCACGGAGATAATATATTTCGCGTTCGTTTCAAGGTCTGCGTGTTCCCTGTATCGAATGTTACGATAATCACGACGAACTCGGTCGCTCGCGAAGCTTTGAAAAGTCAATTGAACGAAGCCTTCGGTAAACTTTACTTCCCCACGGAGGGAGAATGATGGATGCTCGAACGGAACGAAATACCGACGCGTCGCCGAGCTTAATGATAATAATTAATGCCGGAAGTTTCTGACGTCGAATCGCGGGCGCCGGAGAATCTCGAGACGCTCGAAATTAATCTCGTCTACTTTCGGTTCATCCCCACCCCCGAGAAATTCCCACGGTATTGTCGTGCCTGTCCACCCTTTTCGAAACTTTTCGCGATTCCTCCACCCCAGCTGGGTAGAGGACGGCCGATGGACGACGGGAAAATTTGCTTTTTTAAAACGATTATCCGAACGTTTCCATCCGCCGTCAACGGACCCGAAAGTGGATTAACGCAATTTCCGCGACGTTTCGAGGTTGGTTCGGACTAATCTGATTACTTAACGTCAGAACTCGACAAGAGCGATTCGCGGAACGGCCAAGTTTCCCCCTCCCTGCGGGGATTAAAACGAGTTAATTTAAACTTTTCCGCTGCGAGAACGAAAAGGGTGTCGTCGTAGCTGGGCCATCAACTCGGAGAGACATTTTTCAGCGGATCCGTCTAAACATGGCTCCGTGGACGAGGCAGCTTTCACTCGGCCTAATCTTAGCATTCATTGTCACCGAGAATACAACTGGATGTTCGTTCTTCGGCGTCTCCTTTCCCCCATTCGGTTCCTTTTTATCGTCCAATTGTCGAGTATCGTCGGGCGACCAATCCGTCGAAGAAAGTCGTTCGACGGTTAATCGCCCGACGACCGATTCTTCGAACGAAACGAGCCCGTCTCGCGAACGAGCGCATTTAACGAATCCAGCCGACCATAAATACCGAGCTTCGACGATATTCGTTGCGGTGGATATGACGCGACGGGATGTAGTGAATTTCGGGACGTCGCGCCGATGTAGAAAGAGGGTTGGCGACGTTATGAAATTTCGGTGATAACTCGCTGCTCCCCGTTCTTCCTCCTCCGCTGTTCCGTGCAGTTCCGTTACCTTTTTCCAGTTACAACGGCGAATATACATGCATACCTACACCGACACGAGCACGGCTCAACCGACACGTAGGCTAGGCCGGATTTTCATAATGAAATTACCGGATGTGTCACGGCCGCGAGAGCACAGTCGTTCGCTCTCCCACGCGCTTTTGCTCGCGCCGCGTCACACTGTCCCGACACCTTTCGAAAGAGCCGTACAGCCTTCCGTGATTTCGGAGAAGCGACGGGGGCGTGTTGTAAATGGTAGAGTCATTAACTAATGGTTTATAGAGACACGAGTGTGTTGACGGTGACTCGAAACAGGAATTGATAAGGAAACTTGGGAGAACGAACGGTTCTTCGTATAGCACCGCAATTTAATTAACCTGACCGTTTTCAAGGGGCCCGTCTACTATATGTCTCTTCGAATTCTTTTCCGTGGTAATCCTCTTATCGTCACTGGACGCGCGCAGTGTTTTATAATGTCGTTTAATTAATGGATTAATTACGACGAATGCGATACCATGGGCATTCATCGTACAACACTGTCATGTTTTTTACCTGGGACATTCGTCCGGCGTTCTCCCGTTATTCATCAAACGTCGAGTCCTGGATCAGGAAATACGCGAAACGTCTGATTAGGCGAAATTTCATCTCGCAACAGGGCCGTCGCGATAAAGCCCAGTTCGCGCGTTTTCTAAGCCGAAACTGTCGGCCGTACGGTGACTGGTCGGGCGCAAACACACGTATTTATTACCCGGCGCACGCATTTCGCGGGTACGCGACGCGATTTTTTCGAGAATTCCCCCCAACCCCTTCGCCCGTTCTCCGTCGCACAATTTCATTAGAGACGACGTTACCCGCCTTTTCCGTAGCCAGCCGCGCGCACATCAGTTCTAATTCGCGAAACCGGGGCGAATTTTGCAGCCGTCACCGGATCCCCCCTCCTCCCAGTTTCGACCCCGAATTGTCACGAACTATTTCGAGCAACCCGGGGAGAGCTTGTCGTCGCGCACGGATGCACCGACCGCGAGATTTATCGCGCGAAATCGTACCCGCGCGGTTCCAATTAACTCCTCGAGTAATTCCTGACCGCGTGCCTGACTGCTTTACGAGGCCGTTACGCTTCCTGGCGTTCGGTTGCGAAACAAAGCACGCGATGATGATCGAATTCTTGAATCTTTCGATGGGTCGAACCGATCGAATTTTCACTGGTTGAAGTTTGGCAGCGAATGATAAGGGCACCTGGGATCTTATTGGAAAATAGGAATAAAGATGAGCAAGAGTATCAGTGGGAATTAAATAAAAATCACGCGAACTGGAGATTTGGGTCGTCCCGAAGCCGAGCGAGAAAAGAGACGAGCGGCCTCGCGCGAGGCTCGGTTGGCTGCTCGGTCCGCATTCTACTCTGCATGCGAATGAGAGTCGACGATGGCCCACTGGCGAACGGAGGGTGGGGAGGGGGTGCGGAAAAGAAACGGAGAAGCTCCACGGGGTTCCAGCGTCGTCGGGCGTCGAGGCAGAACATCGGCCGTGCCAAGAAACGGAACGGAAGGAAGGCTGCATTTATTAAACTGAGCGCGGACGTGTTCCTCTTCTCCTTCTCCTCGGGACTTCATCCACCTACGTGCCACTTTTCTTCCCTTTTTCCGATCCCTTTTCCCTCCCGCCGCCTCCGTCCGGTCGGTATTGCGCTGCCTGCGCTCGCTTAGCGTAAAATAGTAGCTCGATACCCTCTTCATCACCGATGCCCTCTCTCCTTTCCGTCCTCCGTTTCTCTCGCTCGTATTCTCGCGCGCGTGCACGCGAACCACCTTCATTCCCTCGAACTTGTTCCATCTTGTCGGAGGTCCCCCCGCCACCTCCAGACTCCCACGGAAACGAACGACAGCGGACATCGACGGGTCGTGTCTTGGAACTTTGCTTTTACGAAATATCCACGAAGAGGGACGATATTTGTTCGATGGGGGTTCGTCTATGTCTTTTGACTTTTCGTATCTGGATGGAAACGCGACGAAGCACCGACGTTGTAAGCAGGGTGTCAGCTTGCCCCTCGAAACATTAGAGATCGGTAACTCATTATCTACAGAAAAAATTTCGAACAAGGAATAAAAGATAAACGATACTTCGCATATGGACATTCTAATTTGAATAATACAGCGATACTTCTTCTTGAATGACTAGATACTTAGCAAACAATTAGTTAATCTCATTGACTGTTTAAAGGTTAAGATGGCCGGCTTCCACACTCTGCATTAGACGATATGTTAAAATCTGTAATGACCTTTTAGTAGATTGAAAAGCCTTCCCCTTGTCACCTGGCAACCAATAGTTCGAGATCCAGTCCGTTATTGACGTTACATACGTTCCACGGTGTAACCTCAATTAAAGAAACCCTCGGATTGAACGATGGCCAGGATATCGATCAGCGAAATCTCCCGGTTCATGACGAATAGCCTACGCGCCGTCGTATCGGTGCATCGTCTGTTCGGAGGATATACGCGACGGATCCTCCGGCCGAGAGGATCGCTGTCGGAGCGGGTTGCGGAGAGGGCGAAACAATTAATCAAGGGAATACAATCGTGTGTGTCGGGAAGAGGGTGTCCTGATACGAGGGAGGGGGCAGACAAACCGGTGGCGTGACTGATTCATTATGAGACTGTAATTAAGTCCCCGATATTAGCATACCGACCACGGAGAGATCGTACCCGTGGCAGTCAGCGCAGACTGGAACGACTCGACCCCGAAGGTGCTTCCTATGCTAACGAGACACCCGGATACCCTCCAAGGTGTGCGCGTATATGCGTGTGTGGAGCGTTGAAAAACCGCGCGTTTACCCCGTTTACGGGACACACCGGTGTCACAAGGTGTCCCCCCCCCCCTGCCCCGCTAGTCGTCCCTAATGGTCGCCTACCCAGACGCGTATCTCTTAATTAGCCGGCGAAATCCATTCTCTCTCTCGCTCTTACGCGTCGCGCCACGGGATCCCCCTAGTCCGTTATCAATTTAACCCAGAGGTCGCGAACTTTCTCGGTCAACTGGCATTTTTTTAAAGCATCGCCGCGACCGGGAACCCTCCACCTCATCCTTGCGTTCGCTTCGGACCGCTCGCTGTTTTCCCTGGACGATACCCACAGCTAACGAATTTATCCGAGCGACGACCCCTTCGGTTGTCCCTTCCGTTTCCTACGTCCTCTCTCTCTCTCTCTCTCTGCTTTTTTTCCGTCTACGCGGTGGTTCGTCCAGGCGGCGAAAGATCGCGGTATCCCTGGTACGAGATTTAACGAGATTTCGAGCAACGTTTCATTTGATTGTCCCCGTAGGCTTTTCACCGTGTTTCTGTTGTACGTACCGACCCAGGCTGGAATTCTTGACTGTGCCCGATAATTCGGTTTCGAAACCGAAAAAAAAAAAAGAACTCCGTCCGCTCGAACGCGTGCACCGGAAACTGTTCGCGAATTATTCAGCCGTGTCGGTTGGGATAAAAAAGAAAAATCAATGCCGCGCGGATTCGTGGGACGGCTGGAGCCGCGAGGGGAAACGGGGAGGAATAAATTACGAGCTCGCGGGTCCCGAGGGAGGAGATAAAGCTTCTTCCCTCCCCCCTAGCGCCGATTAATAGTTCTGTCAATAAGATTAATCGAGCGTTGATTTTCCTTGTGGTTTTCAGCACGTTGAGGTGGAGGATGGAGGAGCTGGAGACGTTGGAGAGCACCGAGTGCCCTGAGTGCCCGGGCCCACCCCCTGAGTTCCGGTTGCCGCCACCCCCACGGCCACCGTTCCTCACCGACGGCACCTTTTGCTCGGAGGAACCCCTCACCGAGATCGAAGATTGCGTCGCCATACCGGTGAGTTCGTTTCTTGATTATGTCTCGACGACGGCAGAGATTTTTCGAAAAACTTACCGATGGATCGCGACGATCCTAGATATCCAGGGAGAAAGATAAGTTTTTCGTCTACCTTCTCGTGGAAACTTTCCTCGATCCCCGAAATCCACCACTTTTATCGGTAAATCGTGTTCGTTTATGTAGTCCATCGTGCGTCCATTAATTTTTGATTCTTCAAGAAGTGGACCTATCCAGAGAGTGTTTATGCTTAACGAAACAACAACGTAAATTTCGAGGAAGCATAGAGGGTGGTAAAGGAATTAGCGATGTTACCGAACTAATCAATGGAATCGAAACATATCGGTCCATTCCACGGAATAAAAATCTCGTGGAGACCCAACGACGGAACAGGTGGCACAGAAGAACAGGTCGAAGAAAAGACCCGTCACGCGGTTCTACGGTTACTCGATTCATATCGGAAGGACGGGATTTTACAGCGGGATAAATTCCGGGAGCTCCTTATCCGGGCGCCGCCAGGGGAATTGAATCGGGAGCTCTCGCCGAACAAAAACCGTTCGTACGTCTCCGTTAATCTTCGCGTTGCTTCTTCTATGGTCGAAACGGTTGCCTAACAAAGCGGTCGCGCGCGGAATCTTGGCTCGATCTTTGAGATCCTCGAGCACGGCCAAGAGGAGACGATCCTGAAGAGCAAATGGCCAGGGGTGAAGGGGAGAAAGAAAACGATTAATCGGAACCTGCGATCACGTTTGGACGCAGAGATACGTGTCCGAGTGGTGGACTCTATAACTTTTTCCTTCAATTCGGCGGTGATCTACGACCACAGCGATATATAGGTGGAAAAGACGGGGGAAAGAATTCCAATTAAAGTTGCCTATGCGATCCTTTCCGCGAGGGGGGTGGGGTTGGAGGGCATCGCACAGAAGCCCCCCCAAGCGTTCTCGCGTGCCGGAACTTTCGAATAAGTTGCGACCACGGCGACAAACCTTTGAAATTCTCCGCGGATTCCGTGACACCGAAAGGCTTCATTTCTCCACCCCTGCCCCGCGGAGCAAGCGTCTCGTTACGCTTCGGTAAATCTCGGCCAACGATTAATCCTCCCCCCGTGGTCTCGACGGTGTTCTATCGGTTGTCGCGCTTCGCCTCGACCGGAGGGGATTCCCTGTTCGCGACACGAAACTTGGACGATTTAATCCGCGCCGCGAAAACTGTCTCGCGCGCCACGGATTCTTTTCGAACAATTAAACGATCTCGTCCAGTCCCCGCGCGTGGTTTCCCCATCCGATTCGGAGACTTTTTAACGAGGTAACTCGTCGTTAAAGCATCCTCGACTTTTACGATCGACCGTAATCCATGCGCCCACTCTCGCCCCATCCCGTTTCCCCTCCCCCCGAACGCTTTAAAATTCCATTTATGCGAGGGATCGTCCAGCTGGGATTAAAGTGTACGCGACGCTGCTCCGCCGTTACGCTTTATCGTCGAGCAAATCGACGAAACGGAGGCACGAAACGGCGCAAAAACCAAGCCGAACGAAGAGGAGAGAAGGACCATCGGATGCGCCCGATGTTAAATGTGGGACCAGCCGCGAAGAGTAATCGGCTGCTGGTCGACGGCGCCTGTAAATCGAGAGAAAGCTAGCGGGTGCGCGCCTGCATCGCGCGTGTATACCGCTAGACGCACGGAACAGCTCTGTTTCTGTTATTGTCTTTAGGGTGTACGTGTCGAAAAAAAAGAAAAGCAAACCGTATATACACGTGACAGGCGCCGTCGGTCTGCAGACGCCTCCTCTTTTTCATCGTCCTCCGCGTCTTCTCGCCTTTTTCCTCGGGGCTGCGACGACGACCGTGGCTCGGGGTAAAAACGGAGGCGCGCTGGCCTATTAATAGAGAACACGTGTCCCGTTCTGCCGTCCCCGTGAACCCGGGGACCCATTATCGCCCGACGATTTTACATCATTACGCGTAATTGGAGAATCCCCCGGTCGGTCGGCGCGCTCCGTTCGCTCGAGATTTATCATCCGCTTTCGTTTCGATTAAACGGTCGGGATGTCCGTGGGAATGTGTTGCGAGGACCCTTTCCCTCGAGCGGATCTCTAAAAATGGCACTCGCGCGCAAAAGTAACAGGCGACGGCTCCACTCTGCGATGATAACTCGTGTCGAATAACGAACGCGCCGTTATTGTATTCCATAGAACAGCCCTGTGGAGAGGAGCTGGATTTTAAAGACGATCGGTTTAATCGCGTAGCTTGTTCCTACGTGAAACGGCCCCGTTATTTACAGCCCGGCCGTTTATAATTTCTAATTTCGTGCCCGGGCCCTGTTCTATTAAATCACTTTAATATCGAGCAGTGTCTTGCAGGCGAGCGAGAGTTTAATCTAAAATAATTATTTAGCGCGGATGAGACGCCTCCGACCCGAGACTCCGGGGCCAGGCTTGGTTACCAACGAACCCACGAGCAGCCCACAACCCGCCGCCCACCCGCACACGTAGTTATGTATATATGTACCTAGGCGGGTTGTAAGCGGCGCGAACATTTCACCTTGCACATGCAAATCCCCGCGACTTTCGAAGGAAAGCCCCTCTGGTTTTTGCGCCCTCTCGTCTGGCTTTACGGGGCGTTAAACGCATCGGGCGTCCTTAATTGAATTCCTCTCTCGCCCCCCTCCCATCCCCCTCTTGTTCCACCCTCGTCGACGGTCGGGAAGGAGAGCAGTAACTACCAAAATTGTAGTAAACATTTTGTCTGTCCCTGGTATACCTATACCCCTTGACCGAGATATCCACCCCAGCGTTCCCGGTTTTACGATCGCCCCCTAGGAATCGTCTTATTTCCAACCCCCTTCCCCGTATATATTGTCTCGTTCGATCTTCAGACACGTTTCCCAACGCGTAACTCCGTCCCTCCACGCCAGATTTTCGAATCACGATGATCTACCAATTTACGTAGAGAATCGAACCGTCTGTCGGCCCCCTGACAGATTTTCACAGAGTTTCTTTTTTCCTGCGGAACGTGAAACGGTAGTTCCGAGGGGATTGAAACGGCGGGAGAAGTTTCGCCGACAAAGAACTGGAGAAAAGCTGGGCGCGGAAGCGTCGCCGGACGAAGAATCGTTCTATCCTCCGACGAGAAAAAAGCTCGGAGAGGGAAAAGAGGCAAGGAAGCGGAAGAATTAAACAGTGGGGCAGGGATTGATGGGGGTGGAGGGGAAAGCGAGCCGGATGATAGTAATTAAAAAGCAGCGAGGAGAATGCACTTCGTGTAAGTTGTTTCGAGTTTATTAGAGGACGGTACAGTCCCGCGATATTTATTAAACGGAACCCCTTCTGCTACCCTCGTTGGTCGCAACCCTTCTCGACAGGGTTATCGCGAGCATTTTCTGTACTCGTCCACAGGATTAATTTCTTCGACGATATTTATCGCCTGGAATCCCGTTCTGTCGCCAGAGGGGGTGGAGTCTCGCACCGTGTCGGGAAACAACCACCTCTTGGCCAACCGCGAAAGTTTAGATTAAGTCTCTGGGTATAATGCGACGACCACGGCCAATTGGACGACTTCGGGTATGAATTATGGGCAGCTCGAGATTGCAGCCGCCGTCTGGCCACGGGAGGTGGAAAACGCATCAAGGAAGGATAGGGGGTTAGAAGCAGCGAATTCGGAGTGGGGCATGCGAACGAAAAGGAAACCGAGAGAGAAATTGAAGGCCGCGGTGAAATCGGATTCCTGCGCAGCAGTAGCAGCCCTTTTTCCTTTCGGTAACCTTCGCTCGGAAGAAACACCCGAGGTTCCGTAAGGAACGGGTGAGAACGGGAAGAAGTCCTCGGTGATAGCGTTTTTGCGTCGGGTGGGAGGGCGGCGAGTCTCTTTATTACGCCTGGGAATCCGCTTTGTTTCTGCCGACGACTAGAGGGCGAGGGAAAATCACGAGAACGGGGAGGGGGTTGGCGGTGGATGAACGGGTGGCCCACGGAGTGGGGAGAAAAGCGAGAAAAAGGACGGGAAGAAAGATGAGCAGAGGGAAAAGAATGCTGTTCCCCTAGGCAGAAGTTTGCGCGGCTCGGAGCACGCCGCCGGCAGGAGGAGTAAAAAGTGAACCGGCCTGGAAAATGGGAAGAAAAAGGGGTAGTTATTCCCAGTCTCTCGCGATGGTGGTAACCCAACGACGAAGGTGGGGTGTATCGCTCTGCAGCTACGGTTAATTACAGCACGAGTGGAATTGGTTTCGTTTATCGGCGCGCGCGGCTCGATGGAAACGTATCGTCATTTCGAGCGTCCAGATAGCAAATCGATGCCAGACGTCGACGTCCTCTTCCTGGATATCCGACAGAGAGGACCCTCCGTCCGGATTATCTCGAACCGATTGTGTCTCTTCTCTTTCGTCGATAGCCCCGGATTTCCTGCCAGTCTGTCCGGGGAGACTCGCGTCCGGGGGCCGGTTTTACCTATCGCAATAACCGGTGCCTAGTCCCCCGGAGTTTCTATGGGCAGCCAATTCCACCGCAGTATACCCTGCGTGGAATAACTGTAAAATCATCCTAGAGTTTTCCGTCGTTACGTATTGTGGTTAAAATAAAAACGAAACACTTTTTTCTAGACAATATAGTCAACCCAATACGGTGAGAAATCAAAATTTTATACTTTTCGTGTCGCAAAATTCAACTTCTAACACCAGTTTTATAATCACCGGTACATATACATATTGTATACCGAATTTTATCGAAGGGAATCGGGTTATGGTCCCATTACAGTTACAATTTTCAATAGCGTGCACGTTCTTTCTTTCTTCCGACTTCTCTCGTCACAGACCGCACCTGGTACGCCACGGATCGCTCCGTGAAAACAGCCGCGGAAAAATCGCGAAATTATTCTGAAACGGGTCGGTGAGCACGGTGCCCCGCGCGCACGCAAGCAGGACCGCGAAATCCTTTGATCCAGCTAAAGGTCCTCTCGGTCTCCCGCTCCTCCGACTCTGAAGACTCTGTCATACGCGGAATAAAACAGCAT